TTTTTCTTCCCGAAACCTGGAAAACGATACTACGGCAACACTGTGCGGGAGTGGTCGATTTGGTGAAGGGTTCGAAGTTATCAGAAAGAGGCGTAACGAAGTGTTAGTCGCGCGATATCGGCAAAAATTTAAGCGTGCTTATTATTTTGCCCAAGATAACTTATATATTTTGAACTCTTAAAGCAGTAAATTAATTTCATAAAATTTACTTCAAAGATGTCTTTCAAACGATCATCATGTAATATCTGGTTGGATTTAACAATACATCTTTCAGATTACGGGTGGAAAAAATAAGATGTGCGACATTTACTTTTGATTTACTTTTGGCGTGTTCTAGGTCAGTGTATTATGTAACCCTGTATAATTATTTCTGAATGAATTCTTGATTTTTTCTCCATACGGTATGAATATCGTGCGCTATCAGGGAGAAAAGATACGTGAACGTGCCGTGCCATACACCCTCCTTGGAAGTATTTTAAATTCAATAATCATGTATAGAGAAAAAAATTTGTTTAGTTTTTTTTCCTGCAGCTAATAAATGAGATTTTTCTTACCATGGCTTCATAAACTCACTGTTTAAATAACGTTAAAAAGACAATGATTACAGCAGTATTTCGCGTTGTTCTCGGCTACTGAAACGTGCAGCACTGCAGTAAGCCTTGCCACTATGAAATAGCTCGTGCACAAAAAATACTCTTAATTTTTATAGCATATACGTGTTACTTGCAAAACATTCTAAAGCATTCAAGAACACCGTCTGACGCTTACTGAACACTGCACCTTTAATCTTTTCTATGGCATTAAGAATGTGAATGAACATCTTATTGGTGGATTTTTTTCCGCAATCAAAAAACAGTGTGTTTTGGAGCACAGCTTAAGGCATGCATATAAAATGGCTTAACGTGCAAAAGCAGACATTTGTTATGGTCATGATCGCCTGCTTCTTTCTCTTAAGACTTTTCCTTAAGCTCCATGTTACATTCAAAGCTTCACAAAAGAAAACGAAATAAATAGTTTTCTTTCC